TTTTTTTTTTTTTTTTTTTTTTTTTTTTTTGATTGAAGATTTTTTATTAATATACTGATAGAGTAGGTTGAAATTTTTCATACTGAATTCATGTTTAAAAGTGCAGTGTTTTGTATTTTTTCCCCCGGTGAGATTACTGTTCAATTTTTAGGTGCTTGACACTTTAACTTGATAATTTCAGAAACTGTTCATTTTATTCTCCACATGTAATTTTCAGTCGAAAAGGTGTCTTCTGTATTTAGAGGAGTAGTAGGTGTGGATATTAGTTTTTAATTTATCATTATTATTTTTGCTAATGTCAGGATTCTGTAGCTTTAGTAAGTAGGCTATCATATTATATAAGGTGTTGAAAGCAGGAAGCTGATTTTAAATCTCTTTTGACCTCTACATTGTCTGGAATATTGATGTCTTTAGTGCTTCCCCAAATTTTTGTTTTAAATTTAGATTCTGTATTACATTTTTATATTTATACTAGCTGACCAACTTGACAAATCTATGTGTGTAATTTCTCTTTAAACATTTTTTCATACATAAACATAAGATATTATGTATTATGTTTTTGAAGGATTCTGGAGTAAAGGAAGATGAATTGCAGGCCATTCTTAATTACCTACTGACTATACATGAGGTAATGTTTGAATTTTATCTTTCAAAATTTTATTTTTTGAAACTACATTAGACTTTTTTTAAGAGTAAAAATTAAAAAAAAATCTTCAGTAATTATATAACTGTAATGGGGAATAAATTTGTCTAGGAACCAAAGCCTAGCAACCTTCATTTAAATATCCTTTATTATCACAAGATGGATCTTGAGAATAATCATGAAAGGCTTTAAAAAGTACTAACAGAGTTCACTGAATTAATAGTAAAGTATACCAAAGTATACAGAAACCAGTGTACCAAATGAAAAAATAGATTATAAAAATGACTGAAAATGATTGGGTTTTAAAAATTTATAACACAATCTTCCCACTGACTTTACATGTTCAAATATTTAATTAACCAGCTCATTTATGGTGGGATTTAAAATGTGTTTGAAAGGGAGATTGAAAATTAAATAGGTAGAAATAATTGTTTTTGTCTTTATTTTTTAGCACCAGGAAAATGTAATATATGTCAGTTGCAATCTAACTAAATAATCTCTTTTTCGTTAGGTTTTTACCTATAATTAGTAAAAATTAGGAACTGATGAATATATCATAGCATTTCAAATGATAATTTGTACTTCTATATTATAATTAATCTCTTGTGAATTAATAAATATATTTTAGTATGGAGTAGTGCCTTAATTTTTAAATTTGGGATAATGTTAATTATCTCTTTGTTAATTCCAGAATAAAAGAATGGCTTAAATTTTGTGATTGAGTAATTTTGACTCCAAATCATTAATGATTATGATATTTTTTTCTTCTTGAATAGGCAATCCTGTTTTTAGATTTTACTGACCAAATATAATATTTGAAGAGTTTTCAGGTGAATTTCATAGTGATCTTATGTGTGATTTTATTTTTATTAACCCTGAGGGACTGAATAAAGTACTTTATATGAGGTAAACTGGAAGTCACAGTGATTCCTTATTGTTGGGAAAGTTTCAGGTCCTCCAAATAACACTTCCAAAGATTCAGTGTGCTAGCTTGAGATCATCTGTTTAACTTACTGAAAATTAGGTGTACAAGTGGCTTCCATAGCAAAAATTCCAAAGCAGTGAAGGAAAACTAGAATCAGGGCAATCAAGTTAACTAAACTCTGTTAACTGTTTGACGTTTCCTTTTTGGGTCAGTATTATCTAAGTTGGCTGTAATGATATGCATACATAATGGCATATGCAACAAAGGTCGTCAAGGTTTTTCCTGAAGATATTTTTGGGGTCTAGGACTCATATATGTTTCTGTGCTGGTATTCTGTAACTGTTTTCAAATACTACCACATATTGTAGTATGTTGATGAAGTAAATGTTTATTGGTTTTCCTTATAGTGATGACAGATAATACTATATATGAAAACTATCCAATTATCATTTCTCACAAAGTGTTCTTTTAGAACTAGTTTCTTGAAAGGCACAGTGAATAAAATATTCCAGGTCAAATAAGTTTAAGAAATGATACATAATATCTTGCCCCTACCACCATCACCAGATTTGCAACATTCAGTTGGCATTTTAGAAGCTCTAATATATTTTTCTGTAATAAAGAATAACCCCTCCCCACAATTTCTTGATATATAAGCCTTCCTTAAATAAATTCCTTTTGGATATACTGTTTCTATAGATTATGTTTTACAAAATCTTGATTCAATATAACATGAAAAGGTATTTTATTTCTTTGATTAAGAAATTGTTTTGAGGCCAGGTGTGGTGACTCAACCTGTAAATCCCTCCTTTGGGAGGCTGAGGTGGGCAAATCACTTAAGGCAAAGAGTTCGAGACTGGCCTGGCTAACATGGTGAAACCTTGTTTTTACCAAAAATACAAAAATGTGGTGGCACACACCTGTAGTCCCAGCTACTAGGGAGGCTGAGGCATGAGAATTGCTTGAACCTGGGAGGCAGAGGTTACAGTGAGCTGAGATCACACCATTGCACTCCAGCCTGAGTGAGACAGAGATACTCTGTTTTTCCCTCAAAAAGAAATTGTTTTGCTGTTTTATGTATAGTTTGAGTTATGGAGGTGAATGTGTGCAATTAAAGAACACAATTTATTACAAATAGATATATATCGTAGATATGTCTACTTATATTTCTAATGTTGAAATTTCTATTTCAGAGGTATTCAGCATTCAACTAAGTTGTTTTTTCCTCATTTTTAAAAACAAATTTTCTAAAATGATTATAGGATGACAATCTAATGGATGTCCTACAATTGCTTGTTGCATTAATGTCGGAACACCCTAACTCTATGATTCCTGCTTTTGACCAAAGGAACGGGTTACGGTAAGAGTTAATATATCAAGAGTTTTTAATGTATTTCATATAAGGGATTAGTTTGAAAATATTTGAAAGCTTCTTAAATATGAAAACTATTATTTAAACTTACATGTGAAATGAGTTTGTAGCATGAAATGAGTTAAGATTTAAGACCCATTTATAATCATGCATGTTTTCAATGAATATTTATAGAGGCAGTATTACTATTTGTTACTATTTAATTTGTGAGGATGGATAAATGATTTCAGTATTTTGTATGGTGAATGCTATTAGAGAGCTACTATATTATTGACTTCTTTAGCAGAATTATCTTTAGGTCTTAGAGTAGTATTAAATAGTGTTCAATTGTAATCCAAGATAAGCTCTCTATCCTCCCTTTATAATATCACTTCTTCCACCTCCCACTTCTGACTCAGCATTGTATTAGTGTGCTTAGGCTGCCATAATCAAATACCATAGATTGGTTGGCTTACACATCAAAATTTTGTTTCTCACAGTTCTGGAGATGGGAAATCCAAGTTCGTGATGCCAGTGGGGTTGGTATTTGATGAAGACTCTCCTCTTGAGTTGCCTACCTCTTCTTCCTTCCTATGTTCTCACATAGCAGAGAGAGAAAGAGAGCATTTGTGAGCTTTCTGGTGTCTCTTCGTACAATGACATTACTCCTATTGGATTAGAAACCCTCTCTTATGATCACATTTAACCTTAATTACTTCTTTAGAGGCTCCATCTCCAAATACTAATGATAGGGCTTTAACATATGAATTTTGGGTGTATGCAAACATTTGGTCCATAATAATTATTAACAACAAAAACAGAATACCTTTATTTTACATATAAAAAAGTTAAAAATCTTTTGTTTAATGAAAAAGTGGGCAACAAAAGTTTAGCAACTAGTTTGCTGAATGATGAGCTACAGAAACTAATTTAATTATTGAGTTATAATAAATTCACACAGGGATTTTTGTTTTCTGTTTGTTTTTAAGACAGATCTCCCTCTGTCACCCAGACTGGAGTGCAGTGGTACAGTCACGGATCACTGCAGGCTTGACCTCCCGGGCTCAAGGGATCCTCTTTCCTCAGTCTCCTGAGTAGCTGGGACTACAGGCGTGTGCCACCATGCCTAGCTTATTTTAAAAATTTTTTGTAGAGATGAGGTTTCACTATGTTGCCCAGGCTTGGTCTTGAACTTCTAGGCTCAAATGCACATTGATCTTCTATTACAGATCCATTATTTGGTATCTTTCAGTGCTCATTCTCTATAATATAAAAAGTGACTTTATTCATTATACTTAAGGGGTTTATTTCAGAATTCTTCAGGAAAACAACCAAAAGAGTGTGTGTGTGTATTTGTGCGTGTGTGTGTGTGTGTGTGTGTTTGTGTGTGTGCACGTGGGTACTCACTAGAGAGATTTATTTTAAGCAATTGTTTTACACAGTTGTGGAGGCTGGGAAATCCAAAGTCTGTAGGATAGGCAGGCTGACTGGAGACCCACGGAGGAGTTGATGTTGCAGTTCAAGGTCAAAGACAGTCTGCTGACTGCATTTTCTCTTTCTCTGAGGCAGTCAGGCTTTTTTTCTGTTAGGCTTCAGCTGAATAAGACCTACATACATTATAAAGGCTAATCTGCTTTACTCAAAATCTACTGATGTAAGTGTTAACCTCATCCAAAAAATACCTTCAAATAAATATCTAGAAAAACATTTGACGAAATATCTTGATACCATGGCTTCCAGTTGACACATAAAACATTATAAGAGATAAATTTACAGTTTATCATTTCTTGATAGTTTTACTGTTAAAGTATTCCATATTTTCCCTCACACTGTCTAATAATTATTACTTTGAACAAGCTTGCTATGAACATTCATGTACAAGTATTTCTATGGACATAGGTTTTCACTTATTTTGAGTATATACCATACTTAGGAATGTAATGGCTAGGTCATATGATAGCTGTATTAACACAAAACAAACGAGGCTTATAAATACTTGTTTCTTTTATACACATTTCCTATCTAGTAACTGAGTTTCAGAAAAAGTTTTAAAGGCTTATGTAAAGACTTGGCAGATTTTTTTCTTTTTGGTGCCAGAGTATCTGATTTTATAACCTTATTTTCTTAGTGTTTGTGTGGATGTGCTTTAGTGTATTTTGTGATTTAGTATATAGGATTTTACTACTTTTTATTTAAAAAATAATTGCAAGATAGTATAATGGACATTTAAATACTAGTAAGAAGAATTCTATTGAAAGTCTGGGCAAGGAAAGTCTATACTTTATACTTTTAGTCTTAGTGTATGAATTTTTGGTTCACAGCCAGCCTTATCTCGATTTCACTAGGTGTGAATAACTACATTGTCTTGTGACTAATCCATTTTAACATTCACATTTTGTAATTTTTAAATTCCTTAACTTTACTGCCCTGTCATTCTGTGTAATTTATCCATTCCTATTTTAAAAACCTAGACCTTTTTAGCACTGGAATGTTTCCTCATCAGAAATTTTAACTTCCAGTCTTACTTTTTCATCAAAATTATCTATCTCATTCTGTTTTTCTGATATCACCCTTTCTAATGCTCTTCAGCCTCATAGTTACCTTCTGTCCTGTGATCTTGCTATTTTTATCCCAGTGTCCAAAAGCTGTAGGATAGTCATACTACATCTGCCATTGTTTGTTTCCTTAGCCTGGCTATTTGCTGGAAGTGGTTTTCTAATGAAAACTCTCTTCTGCCTGTTACGTTTGCTTTTGAGAATTCTGATCTTAGATCAGTCTAGTTAGGCACACTCTCAGCTAAACCTTGGCTGGTGGGGAAAAGTCATGCAGTGTTATATGTTGAAACTATTACAAATTCATGATCTACACTTCCGTCATTGTTAGACATTTCTTATATTTATTCCTTCAGATACAGTTCTAAATTTTTACAACTCTTCCTAACTGTAAGCAGTGACAGCCTCATCTACTTCATTAGAGCTATTAGGAGGGAATTATTTCAACTTCCATGTTTTTTCCCCAACGGTGCATTTTAGAGCCTGTTCTTGTTTGCTTATTTCTAGTACTATAGTAGTAGATAAGGTCTTTCTCCTGTTGATGGCTGCCCGTCTATTATTGCTCTTGATCATATTCATTTTTTTTCTATTGCTTTCTTTGGCTGAGTCTTCTATAATGGTTTGTTTTTATAAATAAATTCTTGTTGTGGCATAGCCACTCTCATTCTTTTAAATATTGTCTGTGGTTACTTTCCTACTATAACCACAGCCACTCTCATTCTTTTAAATATTGTTTACAGTTACTTTCCTGCTATAGCAACAGAGTCTAAGAGTTGTAACAGAGATTTTATGGCCCATAAATTCGAAAACAGAGGTCCCCAGTCTTTTTTGGCACCGGGACTGGTTTCATGGAAGACAGTTTTTCCACGGACTGGGGTGAAGGGTAGTTTGAGGATAACTCAGGTGCATTACATTTATCATTAGATTCTCATAGGGAGTGCGCAATCTAGATATCTCACCTGCACAGTTTACAACAGGATTCTACTCCTGTGAGAATCTGATGCCATAGCTGATCTGACCGGAGGTGGAGTTCAGGCAGTAATGCTTGTTGGTCTGTTGCTCACTGCCTGCTATGTGGCCTGGTTTGTAACAGGCCACACACTAGTACAGGTCTGTAGCCCGGGGGCTGGGGACCCTTGTTCTAAAATACCTACTATTTGATTCTTTACACAGCAGTGTTCTAACTCCTGTGCTAAATTAATTCCAAAATTTTTTTTACCTTTAATGGTGTAAATCTCCTTTCCTTCCTGTGTTTAATTTCAGGGATAGGTAAAACTATAGCAAAATTCATCTTTTTTTTAACATATGATACAGATGTAAACAAAATGCATCTTTATAGTTATAGGAGCTTGCAGTTTGCTTTTTAAAAAAAATTTGAATGTATGACTTATTATCTTAGCATTTACTTGAAACCATTTATTACTACCTCAAAATATTTGACTTGATATAGATTTCACTAACTTTTGCCAGTATCATTTTTTAGTAGCTTTATTGTGGCATAATTGACATAAAATAAACTACACATTTAAAGTTTTGACATATATCTCAGTCTCTGAAACCATCACAGCAAACAAGATAATGAAAAATTTTTCATTACAAAAATTTCTTATGCCCCTTTGCAATCCCTCCCTTATACTGATCCCCAGGCTGACACTGATCTATTTGTTGTCACTATAGATTAATAAGGATGTTCTAGAATTTTGTATGAATGAAATTATGCAGTACACATTCTTTGACTCCTTTCACTCAGGATAAATTATTTTTAGATTCACCCATATTGTTTTATTCCCTTATATTATTGGATATTATTTCATCATACTCATATATCACATACTGTTTAGCCATTTGCTACTGATGGACATTTGTTTCCAGTTTTTGGCACAATAATAGTGGGAGACTTTGACACCACATTATTAATATTCGACGGATCAACGAGATAGAAAATTAACAGGGACATTTATGATTTGAACTCAGGCCTGGAACAAGTAAACTCAGTGAATATTTATAGAATTCTTCACCCCAGGTCCACAGAACATACATTTTTTTCAGTATCACATTATACCTGTTTTGAAAGTGACCACATAAATGGAAGTAAATCACTCTTCAGCATTTGCATAGCATTTCACAGATTTAAATGAAATATTGGTTGGCTGTTTGTTTGTTATTTTCTTCCCTTATTCCTTCCTATCTCCACTGTTAAGTACAATTATCGGCATAAAAGAGGTTTTTATTACCTATTTTTAGATTGTATTCCAGCCTGGGCAATAAAGCAAGACTTCTGTTCTCTCTCCCTCTTTCTCTTTCTCTTTCTCCCTCTCCCTGTCTCTCTCTCTCTCCCTCCCTCCCTCCCTCCCTTCTCTCTCTCTCTCTCTCTCTCTCTCTCTCTTTCTTTCTCTCTCTCTCTCTCTCTCTCTTTCTTTCTTTCTTTCTTTCTTTCTTTCTTTCTTTCTTTCTTTC